TTGCTACTCTATCTTGAATGATGCCAGAATAATCACCCCAAAATATGCTTCTTTGAGCTAAAGGCCAGTAGAACCTGAACACCCAGGAAAAGCTCTAAAACCAGGGCACAAGATTCCCTTTTGTAAAGGAAATTTACATTTATGAAGGAAACTTACATTTGTAAATAAGATGTCTTATTTTCCTATACCAGAAAGACGAGGACTCTTTTAACTCTTGTGAATGGAGAAGGCACCAAAAAAAACTGGTTAACTTTATTAAACAACTCTTGTTTACCATATTTTTCTGGCCGCCTTCCCCTAACTAGCCTCTCTCAGAAGCCCTTTACCCCTTTATCTTACCTAAGATGGTATAAAAACCCAGATTCTAACCACATTTTGGGTTGCTCATCTTTGGGTACTCTCATGTGTACATGCACAGTGCACATTGATAAACTTCTCTTTGTTTTTCACTTGTTAATCTGTCTTTGGCCCGATTATCAGGGCCCCAGCCAAGGAACTTAAAGTGGATAGAGGAAAAGACCTTTTTCCTCCCGTAGACTTCTGGCAATGAGAATGGGCTAGCTGGGACACCCCACTTACTCTGGAGACTGTAGCTGAAATCCAGGACCCCTGACAAAGCTGGCCGAATGTAAAAATTCTTACCAAAGTCAGCCTCCCAGGTTTCAATCTGCAGGGTCCAATCAAATGAGGGTGGTAAATGTCTCTTTGTCTTATCTTTTCCAAATTTCGATTAACAAGTGAAAAACATTTGTAGAAATTAGTTATTTGGATTTTTACTCATGTGAATTTGGTTCTGAGGGACTGATTATTGATCCTTTCCCTCCCAGGGACAGCTATTGCTTTCTTCTTTGTCTAGTTCTGTGCCCTGAGAGTTTGGCTTTCCTCCTGCCAGGGCATGCAGGTTGTCATACCTGCAACTGCAGGCAGCCACCTGTCAGGGAGGTGGGGTGGAGGCCAAGAGCAAGTGGATGGGTTGCACTGCATTCACAGCTGGTGTCTTACCATTGCCAGTTCTCAGGGTTGGTTTGTCTAAGTCTTTCTTGCTTTTGGCTACCTTTGGATAGATCATGAGATCTATCACGAGAGCTTCTTCTTTTGCACCTTCTATGGTGATGCCTCTTGTGTCCCTGGCTATGCTATAAGAAAGCTAATGTTTTTGGCTTGAGTCACAATTGGAATAGTATATCTTTGTTTTAAAAAATCTCCAAGACCTAAAACAGTATCTGGAACATAGAAGGTGCTCAATAAATATTTATAGAGGGGTGAAATAGGACTTAACAATGAGGTACCCCAAAGAGAGAACCAGAGGCCTTGTGAATTTTTATCCTTTACTGTATCAACTGTATATAGAATTTTTTTTTTTTTTTTTTTTTGCTTGACCACCTTAATCTAATGTACTTTTCCAACAGGAGAGGTCATATTCCAGGGCATAACCAAAGACAAATAGGACTCATCTTTCTGCAGAGTCAGTTTGTCATGAAATTTTGGAGGAGAAAAATATGTATTTATATAAACAATCTATACTATGTGATAGGGTATATGAATATTTTACAAACTTAAAGGAAATTTGGTCCTCCAAGCCAGTAGCCTCTGGTTATGCCCACAGATGCTTAGAGGGTGAGTTAATTCTCATCCAACATTGAGACTGTTTGGGTGGAGAGACTTGATAGGCACATATTTACTGGTAATGATGCAAAATACCTCAGTCATGCAGAACTGCTCTCCTAAGCTTTCCATGGTCACATTCTCTTCTCTTTCATAAGAAGTTCCTGAGCACTTTCCTTTACTTTGCTTCCAAAATCGATATGCATTTGTCCTCATTCCTTTTTATTCTCCTAGCATTTTGCAAATCTAGCTTTACAATTACTTATATGAATGACATTTTACAAATCACTTTACCTCTTTGAGTTCCAGTTTCTTCATTTGTAAGCTAAGGAGTTTATACCAAGATATCTTTAAAGTCTATACCAAGTTTAAAATTCTATGATAAAAAAAAAAAAATTCTATGATAATATGTTTTATAGTATTAACCAGCTGCTAGTAGTTGGCTTAGAGTAGCAAATAAGCCAACATTTATCACTTGACATCTGTCCCTCATCTTTAATTACAAGATATCAAGTAGTTATTTTTGCATTAAACAACCACCCTCAAAATCTAAAAGCTTAAAACGACAACCGTTTATTTAGCTCACAATTCTGCAGTTCAATAATTTCAACTGGGCTCAAAAGGATAGTTTTTCTGATCTTACCTGATCTAGAATGGCCTCAGCTGAGATGACTTATCTTCATTTCATGCAGCCTCACCTTCCAGCAGGCTAGCCTGGGCTTTTTCTCATGGCAGAGTAAAGGCCCAAGACACAGAGTGGAATTGCACGATGCTTCTAGAGGGCTAGGCCTGGAACTGGCATACCTTCCCTTCTACTGCATTCTGTTGGTCTAAGGAAGTCACAGATCAGCCCAGACCCAAGGAGTGGGGAAATAGATTCCATCTCTTGATAGGAGGAGTTGCAAAGACACATTGCAGAGGGCGTGGAAAAGGGAGAAAAATTGGGGTCATCATTGTCCTCAATCTTCCACATAGTTCAATGATTCTTTTCTTTCTACCCCCAGCATCATAACTACTCTCCTTCTGAAGTGACAATAATAATAATAATTCACATTTATTAAGCACTTGTTGCCAGGCACTCTTCTGAGCACATTACATTAACAATTCATTTTCTTCTCACAAGAACTTGTTGAGGTAGTTATTATTGGCATATTACAATGAGAAAACACAGGCACAAAGAGGAAAAATAATTTACAAGATCCTTTCCACCAGGAAAGAAAAGTTCTTAGAGGATAAGCCATGTGGTGTTGATGAGAATTAAGCCAGAATTGAAAGCTCTCCAGGTCATCTGAGGGCATAAACACCTTTCCATTGCTTTTCCAGAAGATTCAAAGGCTAGAGCACTCAGGAGAATGAAGTTGTTCCACCATTGTGAAAGAGATATTTGTACATTTACAATCTCAGCCAATGATTTTAAAAAGGCAGATTTTAAAATCATCTTTAATGGAAAGAATTCCTCTGTATAAGTTTTCTTCATATCCCTATGGAATCTATTTTGTTTTAATTCCAGCAATCTTTATCAAGTGACAGTGATGCCAGACACTGGGGATATCAAGAACCATGGGGTCTTTTAATTTAACATAACAAAATCAACTTCAACTAATTATGCAGTTCTAGAGGAAGCATCAGCTAGGTAATTCTAGAGCATTCCACCTTTCCTCAGAGCCACTAATGTCACTCAACGACCTCAACTTTTAAGCACACGCTAACTAATATGACCAAAGACATCTGCCTCTATGTCTGAACTATCTCTGATCTTCCTCTTAAGTTTTTTCTCCTCTGGTACAGCCATCTAAGCTCTATTGTACCTGCCTTGCCTGTGCTAGCCCACAGACCCTATTCTAGTGTTTTCCAACGTTGCCCAATCTATCACATCAGACCTAATGAGTCTGAATCTGCAGGGAGGGAATCTGTATTTCTAACAAGTACTCCAGGTGATTCTTATGACTATGTAGGTTTGGTAAATGCTGCCTTATCTTTTATCTAGCATGATTTTAATTAGAATGATTAGTTTAATCTAGCATGATTATAGTCTAATTATAATTGGCTTGACTGAATCCTAAAATCTGGGTTCATGAAAATTGTTTTCCATGGCAAGAAGTAAACTTTGCCTGGGAACTTAGTCTCATCATTCATACTGGGTATAGCCTAATAGGGAGACAAGATCTGGAGCCTCCACCCATGATAATTAAAAGTGATGTAGAGAAGTACTATCTGGTATCCATTTGGGCCATACATGGGCTGTTGGAAGTAAACATTCTCTGGTGGGGAGAAAAGACTAAGACTGATAGATATGGAAAAAAAATGTGCTTTAAATATCTCAAATCTAGTTGCTATATCCTATACCAAGGCCATTTCAATTCTGACCTAATTGAGAATAAAAACAATGAATTCTTGGGCTTTTACTAATAGGTTAGATAATTGATCTTTTTGAGTTTTAATTTCCTAACATGTAAAATAGGAAGCTTGTACTAGATATCCTCTAAGCTTTTTAAAGACTAGTGTCTTGGATTCTAAGAGTTAGTTTAGTCAAATAAAATATGACAAGTCATTAGATGACTGAAATGTTTATTGAATTTATTATAGCTTTACTATACTGATCTGATTGGTTAATTCAATAATGACTAATAAAGCTATTAGTTTCTGTAAATACAGCTAATGTTTTTCACTTATTCCAAGTTTGGATATGGAGGAGAAAGGAAGAAGGAACACCTAGTCCCTCCCTTTTCTCTTCACCTCTTCTCTTCTAAGAACCTCTGAAAGGGTCCAGTGGTCCAATGATTGGTTGGAGTAGTTGTCACCCATTCCAAAATAGAGAAAATCACGTAATGCCCTTCAGAGAAGAAATGGTGCCCCATTTCTTCTAGTTAGGAGCATCACAACCATAATAATCTAAGATAGATCTTTTGAATGTAACAGTTAAAATTTAATTTCAGTGTGGTTGGAACCTTTCTAAATCCAGTTGTTAAAAGAAATTCCTAATTAAATATAACATCTCTAATTAATGAATGCAAAAATAATACATCAGGCACTCAAAAATGTGTCCTCATGCAAAAAAAATAAAACAGAAATTTGACTCAACAGTAGATAATTCAGGCAAAAATTGAAAGTGTTCATTCAGAAATATGAACATTACAGGTCAAAGTAATTTTTTAAGACCAAGATTCTTTGAATAATTGCCTCAACTGCACACAACCTGGACAGACATGATTAACTTAGCTAAAGAACGATTATGAGGAATTTATGTGGGAAAAAATTACCTGCAAATCTGATTGAATGTGAATTTCTGCATTTACGATTAATGCCAGGAAAAGACATTGTAGCAGCCTCATGGAATATCTCACAGCTCTAGTGCACATTTTTGTGCCGTTATCAGCAGTTGCAAACTAATCGACAGAGCTTGCATGGTAAGCAATTAGAATATACTAATCTCCTTTTTTTCCCACTCAGCTTTTTTTTTTTTTTTTTTGGTATGCGAGATAAGCAGAGTCTGGAAATAAATAACTCAACGAGTCTGATTTGGGCATCTTCAGTGGATTCTTTTCTGATATTTCACCTTTTCATAATTATATTTGATGTCTTATCAAATGTTTGGCCAAATTTTTAATTATAAAATGTCATTAAAGCCCTATAACTTATGCACAACTTTACCACATTATCTTTGTGCATGGCTTTTTTTCTTCTCTTCCCCTGTGTGCCCTTTGACTGTCCTGCTGATTACGTAGAAATATCTTCTGAGAAGCAAGTTAAAACCTGACGGAGGTTTTCAATCTGACATCTCATTTTACAAACTTGATTGGAATTCAGGGTATTGAATCATGGCTTGAATAACTTGAATATAAAGCTAAAGCCTTATATTCCACAAATATTCTGAAAAGCAATCTGCTCGCCCATTTTCTGCAGTGGGCCAAGGCCATTTGATTAGAAAATATCTGCTTTTTTGAAGAGGCAGCTTTAGAAGAAACCCTTTGAGAAATGGAAATTCTCTTCATAAACCATAATAATGCCATCCTCATCAGATACAGAAGTTTGAAAATGAAGTCACCTATTTCTTTTTTTCAGCTCTGCTCCCAGAGTCATTTTGCTGATAGTGAATTAGCCCTGAGAAGGATGAGATGTTGTTCATTCATCTCTTCATTCATTTCTAGGCATTGTTCTAGATCCTAGAGACACATACAAAGATCCTGCTGCTGTGGACATGAGCCACAATTGTCTGCTGCCTCTTTTTTTTTTTTCTCTTTACGTTGACGATCACAGAACTGCATTTGTCATATTGTGAAGTAAGTACTGAGTAATTCTCAAGTGGATACATGAGTAGCTTCTCACTTCTTTGAATTTAGGGAGTACTGCTGCTCATTTGTTTAAATTTGAAGGCAAAAAAACTTGAAGTTGTCATAGAAGATTAGTATTAAAACTTTAGAAAAAATGTAGTGAGCACTTAACCTATTGTTATTATTACATACCAACCTCAGTTGTGCTTGAGAATAAATGTGTTGGCCATTTTGACTGATGGGTATTAGGGCAGCAGTCAGAAGGCCCATTTATCCAAAATAACTCCCTTGACAATCAACCCTAGTATAGAAAATTTGCACCATTCATTTATCCATTCATTTATTCACTCATTAGTACCTGCTATGTGCTCTGCATTATGTACACAATGGGGTTAAAAGACTAAATAAAACACCCTAGTCCTGATATAGAGATGCTTACAGACTGGTTAGAGGAAGAGATGAATAAATTGCCAATTATAATGTAACAAGTGCTATAACAAAGGAAGTATAAGGCTACGAGGTAACATATCATATGTTGTGTATTTTTTGGATTACATCATCTACCGTAATTAAATAAAGCATCTCAATTAAGTGAATATAAAAATACTACATTAGGTACTCAAAACTTGATCTCATACAAACTGGGATGAAGTTTAATGAAGGAAGGGACTTTGTCATTTTATTCACTGCCATATATACCACAGTACATGACACTATTTGTATCTTATAAGTCTTAACAGAAAAGTCTTTCTTAAGTTTCTTGCCTCCTGCATTATTTGACTTCCAATACCACCATATCATATGTAATGCCTTCAGTCATGAAACTCCATAATCTCATTTTCTCACTTCTAAAAATGCACAACAGAAGCTCCCCGCCACTGTTCTGTATGTCACTCAGGCAGTTCTCTGAAATTTATTTCAAAAAAAATGTATATTTATCAATCAGTGAACTTTAGCTCCCAAACAAAATTAAGTACTAAGGACCAGATTAACCCTCCTATCTGAAATAATTTTTAAAAGAAACAACACTTTTCATGATATGGGACATCATCAATAAAAAAAACAGTGGCCACTAGACAAGGTAAACCATCCAACTGCACCAGCTTAATGCTATGAAAGGATTCTAGGCTGTGATGCCCAGAAAGTGAATCTAGATAGAGCCTAGAAGATTCCAAGTTAAGGAGATGGAGCTGAGAATTGAGGAAAACAAGGTGACTAGAGTTCATACGAAGGAGTCCTGTAAAAGAGGAAGTCTACAGAGAGAGAATTCTGAAGCTCTGCAGAGTGTCCCCCTTGAATATTCAACTGAAATACTTATTAGTGCTTCTGTGTGAGGAGATTACCCAAGGCCAAAAGAATCACCTGAGTGGATTAGAGGTCACAGTGCTAATCACCCACACAGAGATGAGAATATAGTATCTATTCCCAGCACCCAAACTAGAAAGTCTCATGATTCATGGAGAATTTGGTAAAATAATCAAAAGAGTCTTGAACTCAGTATTAGACAGTAATACTGCATAGTACAGTGTTGAGGAAAATTGGTCTTACACTGAGCACTGCTTCAATCCAACCTAACAAATCTTTTAAACAAAACTCAAAAACCAAACTGTTGGGAGGGGGAAGGGTGAGCTTTGACAGGGCGAGAGAGAGTCATGGACATATACACACTAACAAACGTAGTAAGGTAGATAGCTAGGGGGAAGCAGCCGCAAGGCACAGGGATATTAGCTCGGTGCTTTGTGACAGCCTGGAAGGGTGGGATAGGGAGAGTGGGAGGGAGGGAGACGCAAGAGGGAAGACATATGGGAACATATGTATATGTATAACTGATTCACTTTGTTATAAAGCAGAAACTAACACACCATTGTAAAGCAATTATACCCCAATAAAGATGTTTAAAAAAAAAAAAAAAAACCAAACTGTTTCCAAAAACAATGAGTCACAGAATAAAGCTCAATAATATTTAAAGGAATACAAATAAACCTAGCAAGCAATGAAGTAAAATTTAAAATGTCTGGCGGCACCCACAGAAGGGAGTGGCAAGATATATTCAAAGTCCTGAAAGGGAAAAATTTGCAACCTAGGATACTCTACCCAGCAAGATTATCATTTAGAGTAGAAGGAGAGATAAAGAATTTCTCAGACAAGCAAAAACTAAAGGAATACAGCAATACTAAACCTATCCTAAAAAAAATATTAAAAGACCTTCTCAAAATAGAAAAGAAGCAAGAATCTATAGGAAAGAGAAAATCACAGTTGGAAAGTAAATCACTTAAATAAGCCAGTATACAGATTTTCTTTTTAATCAAAAAAATTTCTGTGAAAGTGATGATAACGAAAATGAACAGAAAAGGATAAACATGAGGATGTAAAAGAGGAAATCAAAATTATAAAATGAGGGGGAGGAGAGTAAGAAAATGTAGTTTTGTTTTGTTTTTTTTAGAATGTGTTTCAGCCTATATGACTTTTAGTCTAAAACAAGTAGATATAGTAATGGGTTAACATACTTGAAAAACAGGGTGACCACAAATCAAAAACATACAATAGATTCACAAAAACCAAAGAGAAGAGAACACAAGCATAATAAAAGAGAAAAATCATCAAACCACAAAAGGAAAAACAAAAAGAAACAAAGAAGAAATACAAAATCAACTGGAAAACAAGGTTTAAAATGGCAATAAATACGTATCCATCAATAATTACCTTAAATGTCAACGGACTAAATGCTCCAATCAAAAGACATAGAGTGGCAGATCATATAAAGAAATTAAAAAGTAAGCCTACAATATGTCACCTACAAGAGACCCACTTTAAGGCAAAGGACACACATAGATTGAAATAAAGGGAATGGAAAAAGATATTTCATGCAAACGGAAATGACAAGAAAGTGGGGGTCACAATACTCGTATCAGATGAAATAGACATTAAAACAAAAGTCATAAAGCAAGATAAAGAAGGACACTATATAATGGTAAAAGGATCAATACAAGAAGAGGATACTACACTGGTCAACATATATGCACCCAATATAGGAGCACCCAAATACATAAAACAAATACTAACAGACATAAAAGGAGAAATTGATAGGAATACAATAGTAGTAGGAGTCTCTAACACCCCACTCACGTCAATGGACAGAAAATCAATGAGGCAACAGAGATCCTAAATGACACAATAGAACAGTTAGACATAATTGATATTTCTCAGGACATTACATCCAAAAAAGCAGGATAAACATTCTTTTCAAATGCACATGGAACATTCTCTAGGAATGATCACATACTAGGGCACAAAACAAGCTTCAACAAATTTCAGAGTATATAAATTATTTCAAGCATCTTTTATGACTACAACATCATGAAACTAGAAGTCAACCACAGAAAAAGACATGAGAAAAATAAAATAAAAGGGCATCCAATCAAAAATTACCAAGCATGCAAAGATGCAGAAAAATATAACCCATAATTAAGACAAAAATCAGTCAATTGGCACCAACCCAGAACTGAGACATATGTTGTAATTAGCAGACAGGTACATTAAAACATACAGAAAGTTAAGCAAAGGTATGGGAAATATAAAAAAGAACCAAATAGAAATTCTAGAGATGAAAACTACAATGTCGGATATGAAAAATAAACTAGATGGGATTAACAACAACAAAACTTGATTTAATTCAAAAGAAGGCAGAAAAAAGGGAGAAAAAGAACAAAGAACAGAAGAGCCGAACAAAAGACAACAAGATGATAGACTCACGTTTAACTACATCAATATTTACATTAAATGTAAATGGTCTGGTGGCTTCCCTGTTGGCACAGTGGTTAAGAATATGCCTGCCAATGCAAGGGACACAGGTTTGAGCCCTGGTCCAGGAAGATCCCACATGCCGCAGAGCAACTAAGCCCATGCATAACTACTGAGCCTGCACTCTAGAACCCGCGTGCCACAACTACTGAAGCCTGCGCACATACAGCCCGTGCTCCACAACAAGAGAAGCCACCGCAATGTGAAGCCCGTGCTCCACAACAAGAGAAGCCACCGCAATGTGAAGCCCGTGTACCACAACGAAGAATAGACCCCACTCGGCGCAACTAGAGAAAACCCACACGCAGCAACGAAGACCCAACGCATCCAAAAATAAATTAAATTTTAAAAAATGTAAATGGTCTACCAAATACTATATGATATCACATATATGGAATCTAAAAGAAATGATACAAATGAATCTATATACAAAACAGAAACAGACTCACAAACATAGAAAACAAATGTATGGTGACCAAAGTGGAGAGGGAGCGGAGGGACAAATTAGGAGTATAGGATTAGCAGGTATAAACTACTATACATAAAATAGATAAGCAACAATGATTTACTGTATAGCACAGGGAATTGTATCCAATATCTTGGAATACCTATAATGGAATACAATCTGCCAAAAAAAAATAATGAACGTCAAACTAATACAACATTGTAAATCAACTATACTTCAATTTCTTTTTAAAGTGTATAGTCTACATAGCCCAATTAAAAGGCACATACTGTCAGATTGGATAAAAGAGCAAGATCAAATCATAGGTGACCAGCAAGAACTGCCGTTTAAACATAAAGACACAAATAGGTTGAAGATAAAAAGATATTTCTTTGAGAAGATCAATGAATCTGATAAACCTCTAACTAGACCTACCAGTAAAAAAAAAAAAAGGAAAAAAGGTGCAATTACACAATACTAGAAATGGGAGATGCAACATAACTACAGATTCTATAGATACTAAAGAGATAATTTGGAATTATTATGAACAACTTTATGCCACTGTATTCACTAACCTAGGTGAAATGAACATATTTTTAAAAGATACAAATTAACATATCTCATAAAATGAATATCTCAAATGAAATAGATAACCTAGAGTCATATATCAACTAAAGAAACAGAATTTGTAGTTAAAACTGTTTCACAAAAACAAAGCTCCAGGCTCAAATGGCTTCACTGGTGAACTCTACCAAACATTTAAGGAAGAAATAATAGTAAATCTGTACAAAGTCTTCCAATAAAGTTAAGAGCTGATAACAATTTCCAATTTATACTTTGAATCCATCATTACCTTGATATCAAAGCCAGACAAAAGCATTACAAGAAAAAGAATAAAAAAACACTATAGACCAATATCCTACATGAACACAAAGGCAAAAACTCTTAAAATTTTAGCAAATAGAATCTAAAAGTTGATAAAATATGTTTCTGGTTTATCCCAAAAATGCAAAATTGGTTTAATATTCTAAATAAATCAATGTAATTCACCATATTAAACTAATAAACAATATCCATATGATCATCTTAATGGATACAGAGAAAGCATTTGACATAATCTAACATCCATTCCTGATTTAAAGCCTTCAACAAGTAGGAAATTTTCTCACCCTGATGAAGGATGTCTGAAAAAGCCTACAGTTAACATCATCCTTTGTAGTGAAAAGACTCAATACTTTCTCCTTAAGATCAGGAACAAGACAAGGATATCCTTTCTTGCCACTTCTATTCAGCATTGTCCTGAAGTTCTAGCAGTGCAGTAAGGCAAGACAATAAAAGAAATAAAAGGCATCTAGATTGGAAATGAAGAAGTAAAACTGTCTTTATTCATAGCAACATGATCTTTATGTAGAAAACATGATGGCTTATTTTAAAAACCTACTAGGACTATTAATGAGTTTAGAAAGATTGCAGGATACAAGATCAATATACAAAAATCAAATATATTTCTATACACTAACATCAACAAGCAGAAGTTCATGTTAATAAAACAGTACCATATGCAATAGCATAAAATGTTTAATTACTACTTACTAAATGCTGGGCTTTATGACAAAGTGACAAATAAACAGGGGCACTGTCCTCAAGACGCTAAGTGGGGAAACAAACATAAAAACAAATAATACACTCTGATAAGTAAAGGAATAGAGTTAAGTGTGGACATTCGGTCAAATATTCCTAACAACTTTCTCTTGTTAGGAAACCTATTCTCCCATTGTCTGAGAATAACTCATAAGCAATCCATTAATTCCATAAACTGGATCAGCACAGCCAGAATTCCTAATGCGATTAGAATAGCTCTTTTTTCTGATGTCCATGTGCCTGAAGTTAAGAGGATAAGTCTTCCTAATCCACATGTGAGGTGCTTTTGTCTAATAAACCAGTTCTCTGGCCCAGAGAGGGGGGGAAAAAGTCTATTCTAAAAGATTCAGTTGCCTTTTCTTTTTTCTTTTTTTTTTTGCATTTATACCAACTGGCAGAACCTGAGAACTTAAAAGTGTACTGAGGCCTTCAATAGCTGAGGCACCATAATCCAATGAGGCTGGCCCAGAACCTTCTTTTGTGTGCCTTTTTTTTCCTGTGAAGCAAGAGCTGATTAATTAAAATGAGTATAATCAAGATTTTCAAGTAAAAGTAAAATACTTCAAATTCTTTCAAAAAAAAACAAACCCAACTCCTTAAGCACTCATTTATAAATACAATTTTTAAATTATTCTTGTGTTCAGTTCATTAAGGCAGTTCTAGTGGCCTCTGTTAACTTGGTTGAAGAAACAGGTTTTATTGAGTTCTTATACTGATGCACTGAGCATAATTATGCATAAGTGTCACAGTAGGCTGCTGCCAGACCCTAAGTTTTTAAGATATCAGATGTCAAAATACTCCACACTCAAACCAGAGACCACAAGCAATTTAAATTATTACTGACACAGGCATATGCAAAGCAAGGGGGATTTCCTGAGTGAGGGGCAGGACCCACCAGCAAGAGGGCACTCTGATATCCCCTGCAGGAGAGAGAGAGGCAGAATGTACATGGTCAGGAGGATGTATATACATATATCCCTCCTTCTCTATGACCTTTTTGGATGATGCAAGGGCCAACTAAGTTCTGGTGATGGGGGAGGAGAAAAGAGGGGCAGGGTGAGTTGCCTCACATGTCATTTTTGGGGGTGCAGGAGAAGTAAGTGCAGAGCTTTTGATAGTCTATTGGTTTTCACCCTGGGGGAGCAGCATGGTGGCTGCCAGTTTCCATCCTGACAGGTGTTGAATGATATAGCCAAATGTCATTGTGCTAGGGTGATTTAATTCTATCTACAATAAGCAAGAAGCCCACAATCAAGAGTGGAAGACAGACATGCTAACAAATGAAACGACATGATGTGATATATACAAAAATAGACTTATATGTGAGTTTCAGAAAAAGTACAAAAGAGAGCATCCTGTCTGAGGCATCATAGAAAAGCAATGCTCTATCAGGGTTGTGATAGAAACTGGGAATTTACCAGGTGGACAAGGGAAAGAAGGGAGTTCCAAGCAAAGGAGCTAGCCTGTGTGAAGAAAGGGAAGCATGAAACAGTTGACAAGAAGCAGTGAACAGCTTGGTACTGCTGGAGCACAGATGAAAGGGGAGAGTGGCAGATGTTGACACAGAAGTAGGCAGGGGTCAGGTGTGTGAGATCTTATATAGCTGTGCTAAAGTGCTTGGACTTTATCCAGTGGTAATGCAGACCTCTTCAACGGTGCCAAATATAGAAGGGACATGATCTGATTTTCCTTTAAGAGGAATGACTCTGACAGTATGGTTGGGGAATGGTTGAAGGCACACAGTAGGGGCAAGTCAGCTGAGAATCTTCCAGGGGCATCTGTCTACAAGGAGCACTAAAATATCACTGAGCGTGTAATGAAATCAAGAAAATAACATTTACCGAAACTTCCATTTGTGGATGGAAGTAATACTTATAACAGTACAGACCTTAGAATCCGACTGCTTTGGTTTGAATCCTATTTCTACTGAACAAGTTCCTTCAGGGTAAGGAGGATCAGGGGGTGCTACAGGAGGGAAGAAGGATAGACAAGTAAGCCCCATGGAGAAGATGAACGTTTTATAGCATCTCAGATTTTACTGTGAATTCTTGATATACCCATTCCCACTCAACCTTTCCTCCTTTAGTCTTAAAGAATAGTGTAATATTCATTCAGCTGCTCAAGCAAAAACCTAGAAATCCAACTTGGTTCTCCCAGGTGCCATGCTACAAAAATTGCCCAGGTTTTTCATCCTTTTCTATGTCCGTGGCCTTTGCCATGTGACACTGTAGTTCTCACTAATGACTAAAAAGGCAGAGGCTATTTTCACACCCCTTGATGCATGGACTGGACTCATGACTTGTTGGATTGACCTAATGGAAGATGGCAGAAGTGACAGTGTATTTGTTCTGAGCCTTGGCCTTAGGCAGCTTTTCATGTTTCTACTTGCTCTCTTTCATCTCTGCCATTGCCAGGAGAATATGCCCAGGTCACCCTACTGGAGAGGAGACCTGTGTAGTAAAGCCAAGCTACCCCACGCATCTCAGCTGAGACCTGGATCAGCTGAAAGGCAGGCAAAGGCCAGTTACAAGAGCAAGTCCAGCCAATATCAGCAAATCTACCTTAATGTTGTATGACACTGAGGTTTGGTGTTAATTTTTATGCTGTAATTTTTATGCTGCAATATTTGCAATAAATAAATGATATACCCCATTACCCCATTTTCTTTCATCCTAGACATATCAGTTATATCACTTGAGTCCTATATTCCTACTTACAAAACAGATCTCAAATCCATTCACTTTTTTCCATCTTCATTGTCCCACTCTAGTTTGAGAACCATCATACCTCATCTGAACTACTGCTTTATCTACTTCCATGCCAGACACTTATAATCTATACTTCAAATACCAGGGAGAGTGATTCTCCCCCAAATAACATATATTAGATCACCTCAGTCATTGCCCTGCTTAAAATCCTTTAATATCTTCTCACTGCTCTCAGAATATAATCCAAACGCCTCATGATGACCTCATGGTCTGCCTAATACCAAGATGAAAAAGTAGCTTTTATTTTACCTTCAGAAATGGTTTCTTCAAAGAAGTGTGGGATCAATTCTTATTTAGAAATCTCTGCTTGAAGAAAGTTGATTTACTGTTTCAACTCATGGAATATTATTTTGGTAAAAGTACCAAAATATATCAAAATGAAACAGTTTCTTTGGAAAACACAGAAATCAAACATGATGATTTGATTTTACCAAATAGCAAAAGATTAAGGTGGAGAATAAGAGGAGAGGATGAAAGAAAAAATAACAATCCATTGGTGGTCCAGTGTATCACATTGAAATGACAAAAGGATACAATTAGACCTGAAAGAGAAGTCTACATTTGGAGCTTTGGAGAGTATATAACCCAGCTGTTCTCTAACTTCACAGGGACCGGAGAACAGAGGAAATAAGTTACCCTGAGGTAGGAGGTATAAGCTGGAAGATTAGACATGAAATCAAACTCCCTCAGAATCAGCATTGGTAAGTATTACTTAATACTTACATACAGTACTTAGCTAAAAAGTGCTTTTGCTTATTTTGCTCCATTTATACCTGAAGACCTTGGGGTCTAGTGAGGTTCAGTGGATAGTAATTAGTTTTCATTCTGACATTAATCACACATGGTAACTTGACAATTCACACGATCCATGAGTCTGTAAGCCTTCCCATAGTGAATTGCCATTATTTGTATTTTTAAAACAAATAGCCATCAAGCAGCGGCTTGATGTAAAGCCTACCAAAGATGCAAAATAAAATGCAAAAATCACTAAAATCAGTTCCTGTTTTTAAATAATGTGGCTACAGCCCCAGAATACCAAAGGCAGCACGGGAATACCTAAGAAAGGCATTTGGTGCATTTGTGGGCACCAGTAAGATTGACTTTAATCTCCCTGGAAGAGATATTCAGTATTAACTGCAGTTTGTCAATGCCCTGTCCCTCAGGGCATAATGTTGTGCAGTAGTGTAGTATAGTGTAGTGTAGTTTTCTGGCACCTGGCTACCGCAAAGCCTTCTCCTTTGGCCCCTTGTAATGGGAGGTGTACAGGAAGAAGAGCAGCTGGGTCCTGGTATTCCTGGAATTTCTCTTCAGTGGACTGCCAGTGTACAGGTATCACAACGTGGCACATGGCTGTACTCAAGGAGATGAGACTCCTTCTGAAAAAATGAAACCCAGCAGAAGTGGTACAGAAGACAGAAAATCCTTCTAGCATGTGCCTCCCAAACTGCCTTCTCTCCCTCTGTTCCCTTCACCAGGAGTGTCCTCTCCATTTTCTCTGCCTTCTCCACACCCTGCCTATCCTTCAGATTCCAACTCATCACACTTCCCTATAAAGCTTTCAACGTATACAACCCCCAGTGACCTCTTTCTTTAATAAACATATATCTCAATCAGAATTTATTCTCTCTGCATCGCTGACACATCACACACAGACTGCACTATCCCAATGAACTGTACCATAATTCAAGCCAGAAACCTACTCGTAATCCTTGTCCTGCCTTTTATTTCTCCATACATTCACCAATCACAAAGTTTGATCAGTCTTCCTCTGGAATATCTCTTAAATATCATATCCATCCGCAACCCATCCCCCTACATCAACTACCTTCATTTGTTTGGTCTCTCTCTAATTTATCTTGCCCAAATCTCCCATTCCTACATATTGTCCACAATGTAATTAGAGTGGTCTTAATAAAAGGCAAATCAGATCATGTCACTCTTCTGAATAAAATATTTCAGTGATTCCCTCTGTTCTGGTGATATGGGTATCAATTTCTTCACATAGTTCACAAGGCTCTGCAAAATCTGGCCTATGATTATCTCTAGTCTAGCTTCATCTCTTGCCATTTCCCCAAATCATGCTCGTTTCCAGACTTTTTTAAATTCCCCTAAGCCGTGCCTGAACACTCTTCTCCCTACACTTTTACTGGCTAACATTTACATATTCTTCCTATCTCAGCTTAGATACGTCCTCAAAAATCTTTCCGGGACCTCCATATACCAATATAGATGTTCATTATATGTGATACCACAGTATCCTATATTACCATCATTTTCTAGAGACAGAGCTCTTATCTGTAAACAGTGAAATCAACTCTAGTTAATCAAAGCGGCAAACAAAATTTTTAAATATTAGGTAGCTAACAGAATCTCTGGAATCACTAAAGAATGAGAACTGGGGATCACCAGGCCAGTGATAATGCTCCAGGCTTCACTGTGGAATGGCTCCACACTACAGCTGCCTTGGATGAGTGGAGACAACACTGATGCTAAGCACTGGGTGCTACCACTAGGACCTCTGGCTCTGCCTCTTATTGATGGAGCCCAGGTCACATTCCTGAATCCTCACTGCAAGGCATGCTGGGACAGTAAGGTTTTGTCATCTACCTTGAGAAGTGCTCAGATTAATTGTTTTATAGGTTTGTTGAAGAGCTTGAGGGTGACTAGCCATAACCACTTATTAATTTTTTATATCAGTTTTTTTAATATTTCTTTTTTTTAACATCTTTATTGAAGTATAATTGCTTTACAATGGTGTGTTAGTTTCTGCTTTATAACAAAGTGAATCAGCTATACATATACATATATCCACATATCCCCTCCCTCTTGTGTCTCCTTCCTACCTTCCCTATCCCTCCCGTCTAGGTGGTCACAAAGCACCGAGCTGATCTCCCTGTGCTATGCGGCTGCTTCCCACTAGCTATCTATTTTACATTTGGTAGTGTATATATGGCCATGCCACTCTCTCACTTCGTCCCAGCTTACCCTTCCCCCTATCCATGTCCTCAAGTCCATTCTCTATGTCTGCGTCTTTATTCCTGCCCTGCCCCTAGGTTTTTCAGAACCTTTTTTTTTTTTTTTTAGATTCCATATATATGTGTTAGCATATGGTATTTGTTTTTCTCTTTCTAGCTTAGTTTACTCTGTATGACAGTCTCTAGGTCCATGCACCTCACTACAAATAACTCAATTTCGTTTCTTTTTATGACTGAGTAATATTCCATTGTATATATGTGACACATCTTCTCTATCCATTCATCTGTCGATGGACACTTAGGTTGCTTCCATGTCCTGGCTATTGTAAATGGAGCTGCAATGAAAATTTTGGTACATGACTCTTTTTGAATTATGGTTTTCTCAGGGTATATGCCCAGTAGTGGGATTGCTGGGTTGTATGGTAGTTCTATTTTTAGTTTTTTAAGGAACCTCCATACTGTTCTCCATAGCGCCTGCATCAATTTACATTCCCGCCAACAGTGCAAGAGGGTTCCCTTTTCTCCACACCCTCTCCAGCATTATTGTTTGTAGATTTTTTGATGATGGCCATTCTGACTGGTGTGAGGTGATACCTCATTGTAGTTTTAATTTGCATTTCTCTAATGATTAGCGATGTTGAGTATCCTTTCATGTGTTTGTTGGAAATCTGTATAACTTCTTTGGAGAAATGTCTATTTAGGTCTTCTGCCCATTTTTGGATTGGGTTGTTTGTTTTTTTGATATTGAGCTGCATGAGCTGCTTGTATATTTTGGAGGTTAATCCTTTGTCAGTTGCTTCATTTGCAAATATTTTCTCCCATTCTGAGGGTTGTCTTTTCGTCTTGCTTATGGTTTCCTTTGCTGTGCAAAAGCTTTGAAGTTTCATTAGGTCCCCTTTGTTTATTTTTGTTTTTATTTTCATTTCTCTAGGAGGTGGGTCAAAAAGGATCTTGCTGTGATTTATGTCATAGAGTGTTCTGCCTATGTTTTCCTCTAAGAGTTTTATAGTGTCTGGCCTTACATTTAGGTCTTTAATCCATTTTGAGCTTATTTTTGTGTATGGTGTTATGGAGTGTTCTAATTTCATTCTTTTACATGTAGCTGTCCAGTTTCGGCAGCACCACTTATTGAAGAGGCTGTCCTTTCTCCACTGTACATTCCTGCCTCCTTTATCAAAGATAAGGTGACCATATGTGCATGGGTTTATCTCTGGGCTTTCTATCCTGTTCCATTAATCTATATTTCTGTGTGTGCCAGTACCATACTGTCTTGATCACTGTAGATTTGTAGTATAGTCTGAAGTCAGGGAGCCTGATTCCTCCACCTCCGTTTTTCTTTCTCAAGATTGCTTTGGCTATTCGGGGTCTTTTGTGTTTCCATACAAATTGTGAAATTTTTTGTTCTAGTTCTGAGAAAAATACCAGTGGTATTTTGATAGGGATTGCACTGAATCTGTAGATTGCTTTAGGTAGTATAGTCATTTTCACAATGTTGATTCTTCCAATCCAAGGACATGGTATATCTCTCCATCTGTATCATCTTTAATTTCTTTCATCAGTGTCTTATAGTTTTCTGCATACAGGTCTTTTGTCTCCTTAGGTAGATTTATTCTTAGGTATTTTATTCTTTCTGTTGCAGTGGTAAATGGGAGTGTTTGCTTAATTTCACTTTCAGATTTTTCAACATTAGTGTATAGGGATGCAAGAGATTTCTGTGCATTAATTTTGTACCCTGCTACTTTACCAAATTCATTGATTAGCTCTAGTAGTTTTCTGGTAGCATCTTTAGGATTCTCTATGTATGGTATCATGTCATCTGCAAACTGATAGTTTTACTTCTTCTTTTCAATTTGGATTCCTTTTATTTCTTTTTCTTCTCTGTTTGCGGTGGCTATAACTTCCAAAACTATGTTGAATAATAGTGGTGAGAGTGGGCAACCTTGTCTTGTTCCTGATCTTAGTGGAAATGGTTTCAGTTTTTCACCATTGAGAATGATGTTGGCTCTGGGTTTGTCATATATGGCCTTTATCGTGTTGAGGTAAGTTCCCTCTATGCCTATTTTCTGGGGGTGGTTTATCACAAATAGGTGTTGAATTTTGTTGAAAGCTTTTTCTGCATCCTCTGAGATGATCATATTGTTTTTCTCCTTCAATTTGTTAATATGGTGTATCATATTGATTGATTTGTGTATAGTGAAGAATCCTTGCATTCCTGGGATAAAGCCCACTTGATCATGGTGAGTTTCTAAAAGAATGTTAAAGTTGTCAGCTGGTATAGTAAGTATCTTGTCTGTTTCCAGGGGACTCCTTTGGTCAGTACCATGTCTGTGCTGGCAAACAACTGAGGCTAAATAAAGGAGTGTGGAAATATGAATGAAATAGTGCTATTTACTATCTGAGTGCAGCACACGTACCAATGAGCAGGAAGGTGATGTGGAGATCAGGAAGGCATTAGTAACAAGCAAAGATATGAAAGGGGTTCATCTGCAGCAAATCAAAAGAACATAACTGAAGCCCTCAGCCTGGTCGGAATTGGGCCCTGAATGGAGCCTATAAGGTGACCAGAGAGAGTTAGAAGTGCTATAATATGCTTCCATAACACTCCATACTTCTCCAATCATAGCACTTACAAAATTTTATTGAAGAGTTTGTTAGTTTCTTGTTATTCTTGCAGAGTTACAAGATGTGTGAAGACAGAGATGGCTCATCCATGCCTGCTCCATAGAAAATGTGTAATAGATATTTTTAAAAAGAAATAAGTGAATGAATAAATGAATGGGGGTAAAAATGAGGGCACAGAAGTGAAAGAGGGAGGTAGGCACCAGAGAATGTTGCCTGGTTCCAGTGGGGTGACCCGGATCAGCACAGGCCTGATGCTAGCCACTCCCACACAACTCCTTTCTTTCTAATCCACTTCTCATTCTCTTTGGGAAGGATTGAGGTCTCTGGAAAATAGCCAAAAAACAATTAAGGGAGCGGCCAGCCCAAATTAATGCTCAAGCATCAGGAGTATCTGAGAACTGAAAGCCACTTCTATTCACACTCTCTCAGATCAAGGGGTGAGAAAGGGTTCCCAAAGCCATAACTCTTTTTAGGTGGATTTAGAAGGCATATAAAGGCCCCTGGCTGAGGACTTGCCTCCTCATTCCACAACTGGTGCCAGTACTCTCAATCCTCCACTGAGAGAAAATGTCCATCCAGTAAGTATCTCTGGGAGATTATTTTTTTAATTCCTTAGTGTGTTGATGGTAAATGGTCTATTTCAAGAGCTCCTGAAGAGGATCGATGACCCCTTTAGGGAAGGCCTTGGCTCATGGTTGGGGAGTTTCTTCCTATTTATGTATTGAAGCAAATATCTAGAATTCAGGTCTAAATTACAGTGGGGTTTGTGTGGCTTGGAATGGGCCTTGGAAGTAGTAGTGAGCATGAAGATTTCAATGAGGCAGACCCGGGTTCCACTTCTTGCCCAGCCATTTCCTAGCTGTGTGATTTTGGGCAAATTACTTTTTGAAGTCTTGGCTTTTCCGTATATAGAATGAGTAGTACTTACCCCCATTATGGTGTTGTGAGATTTAAATGAACAAATAGCATACAAAGTCCTTTTTATAGTATGTGGCACATGGTAAGTGCTTAATAAAAAATAACTATCATAATTAGGCAGTCTGGTCAGAGCTCTCACTCTAAGAAGTTATAACATGGAGCCAAAGTGAGAAGGGAGAAAATAATCAAAAATATAAGACCTAAATCTCCTTGTCTGACTATATTTAAAATGCACTGTAGCTCTTGGAGACTGGTGATGAAGTGAGATGATGGGAAGAAGTGATGGTATAATATGGGTGAATAACAAAGGATGACAAACTGACCCCCAAACCTGTGGTCTCCCAGTGCATAAGAGAGAGAGGAATGAGACCATCTGGAAGGCAAGAGAATAAATGATGCAGTAAAAGCTGAGGGTAGGGACAGGGCAGGCTAATTCTGCAGGAAGGACTCGGTCAGGAAGAGAAGTGACAATGGCGGGATTTTTTGACTTGTCTTCAGAAATATGGGAAAACTACAGAGGGCAAGCAAGTCCACTGTGGCACTAAAAGGGAGGTCATTTTCTCCTTCATCAGAGGACGAGCACTGACCTGGGCCCCTTTGCCAACCTGATACATTTCTACCACCACACCACACCAAAACACTGTGTGCTCCCAGCCCAGGCTAGACTGGCAGTATGCACCACCATTGAGCAGAGAGCATCTTTTCTCCTGGAGCTCTGCCTCTGTCTCCGTGGACTTCCTGAGATTCCACATGAGCTTCCTCCTCATTATTCCACCATTTCAGAGTCGAACATCCTGCTGGTGGTTACAAGAAACTGTTTGAAACTGTGGAGGAACTGTCCTCACCGCTCACAGCTCATGTTACAGGTTGGTCTCACCTATCTTGAAGCCATCTTCTCTTTTCTGTCTCAATCTCTCTTCTCTGTTCTCTTATTCATTGGCATCTCTCAGTACGGGCTCCCCGTGTGGGCTACAGAGAGAGGAATCTGGACATTTGGGCTTTTTATACTAAGAACCCATTTCCTCTTTTCTTTACTTCTCTAATATAGAAAAATGCTACCTAACTGGAATTCCTTAACAACTGGGACTATACCTTTGTCATCTTTAAGCTGTCAGTGCCTAGCTCAGTGCCTGGCACATAGAAAATGTCCTGTAAATGTCTGTTCTATCGTTTGCAGAAAAAATGAAGTCCTGGTGACAAGCATCTGGGAATATGACAATAAAGGGTGGTAGGTTTCATGCCCATTATATCAGAAGTCTTGGTTCTGGAGTCAGGCAGATGTAGGTGCTAATTGTAGCTCTATTATTTTACTATCTGTGAATCCTTCAACAAGTTACTTAAACTTTCTGAGTCTCAATTCATTCACCTACCATAAACCAAATTTTACCTCATCGAGATGTTGTGAAGATTAAATGAGATAATGTAAATCGAAAGATTCACACAGTATCCAACACAAAGTTATCAATAGATGGTTGTTATTATTACTACTGCTATCATTATCCAAAGTCACCACATGACCCACATAGCATCCTTGCTTAGACATGGTGTTATAGGAAGATCCAAAGCCTGGGCAGGTCTCTTTCCTCCCAATTGTCTCTTATGCAAAATAGAAGGAATGAGCCCGGTGCTCTTTCTCAACTAGATTCTGATGCTAACAATCTAGGTTCTAGCAATCAAATTAATGCTGTGCCTTTTAGTTAAGCCATGCCTTCTTTTCAAATTTTTATCAGAAATATACATCCTTGTAAAGTGGGCTGCTGAAATTGAGCTATATGAAATAATACATTTGTGTTTTTTTTTAATGGCAAGGATTATAAAAACACTGCCAAATGCTGCACTTTTCAAAGGATCAAAGGGCACAAACCTAACTGTTTAGACTGAACAGACTTAAGGCCTTTCTTGTGTGCCCCTCATTTTGCAGAGAAGGACACGGAGGCCTAGAGATGGCACATAGCAAATCCTGAACCAGAATTCAGGTCTCTGACAGCCCTTTGCACTTTCTGCTACAGCAGGTTGACCTTTATCTGGACAGTAGCCCATATTCTCAAAGGAATATAGGTCTATATTTTAAGAAGCCAGTATTCTTGTTGTTTCATTTAAACAGTTTGTTCTGTAGACACATCTTTGTTTAGTATCTAGATCCCTGCTTCTAATCCATCCCTCCTATATATCAAGAAATTTGAAATTTTTCTTAAAAGTGAGACAGTAAAAAGGCAAATGTATTGGTAGCTGGGGAAATCTGTTAGATGGAGAATCCCATTCCATTCGAGATACTTTTCCCTGTCTCCTTCCAACCCTTTATCTAAACTCTGAGATGTTGCCACATTTCCTACCACTTGGTCTCCTAGTGAAAGGAGAGTAGGCCAGCAGGCATTTCCTGAGAGCTACCCCCCGTGAGAACTGGGAATGGAAATGACTGCCAGCTTTAGAAGTAAGAGGCTGCCCAATCGGGCTGCTTAGATAATCACTGCTCTTTACCTGGGTGAGAAGGGCAGGGGTAAGAAGCAATGTTCTGAGTCTTGCCTTCATCACAGGCAGGATCCCCCTCTGGCTGACCGGCAGTCTCCTTCGATGTGGGCCAGGACTCTTTGAAGTTGGATCTGAGCCATTTTACCACCTGTTTGATGGGCAAGCTCTCCTGCACAAGTTTGACTTTAAAGAAGGACACGTCACATACCACAGAAGGTAAAGAACACTAGGGCCCACTCCTCCTAGGGTTCGGACCTATCTCAGCTCCTCCCTCCATGTACTTTTCAACCTCCTGAACCCAAGAGGAGACTTTTATGCTCGCTTCCACTCAGAATCCTCCTGGGCCAGTGAGTCTGTATGGACACCTCGGAGATGTACTATGGGATAAAGAAGCAGCTAAGAACTAGGGCTTTGGGGTCTGACGTGCCTGGCTTCAAATCCCATATGCCCTACATACCATTTGCCTAGGTGGGTGCCCTTTGGCAAGATGTTAATCTCTAATTCTTTGTTTTGTCATCTATAAAAATGGGAGAAATAAGAGAATTTACTTCAGGGTTTATTACAAGGATTAAATGAGAACATGGTTCCTAGCCCATAGGAAGCATTTAATAATAATAATAGTTATTATTATTAAACCATGGGTCTCTTGATGTCTTTCCTTTTTTATAATCAGAAAGGCCAATGGGAAGGAGGGAGGGGTGTCACAAAGGAGGCAAGGACCAAATATGTCATAATAATACAAGAAAGAGAAGTTTTCTAAAAACAGAAGATTGTTGCTAAAAGGCTTGAAGCCCTAAGCCATCACTCCAATTTCATTACAAAGATTCATTAACACCACAATAAATAGTTTGTCTTATGCCTTAATATTCAGGCCTGTTAGCAGCTTTGTTGATCACCACAGATTTCAGGCATTCTGAAGAGACATCAAAAGAAAGAATAAATGGAGTCTTGAAGTAGTCAGGATAACTTGGACTGTAATAGAAGAGAAACAGATCAGGTCAAGCAGACATTTAGTTATGAAAGCATATTTTGGAGGTCAGGCAAAGCCTTTATATGCCTTCTAAAGACCTTGGTACTTCTTCCTCTTTATGAAAGTGCAAAATCAGATTTTAATTGGCTCTCCACATGAGAAATCCTAGGCAACGTACGCCATCTAGTCTGGGAGATATGGTTCAGGAGGTCTGCCTGTGCAAGAGACCAGATTCAAGGATATCTACTTTTAAAAGTAGCAAAATAAATTTTTAAATTGAAGAAAAACATAAGAGGGACATGAGGAAGATTGAAAGGAATATAATTCAGCATAACATGTTCTATACTTCCCCGCTCAGTGTAGATTGTTGAATTATAGGCTACAGGAAGTCAGAGGTCCAATGTGAACTACCCATGGGGCTGCATAGTGTGATATGGAACAGGAATGTTTTCTGGCTCTGGCCACATATGCCGATCACTTCATTTCTCTGAACCTTGATTTCCTCATATGTCACTGTGAAGTTTATAAGACACAAATTTAAGCTCGTGGCACATTGTCTCTTTCTCCTTCAGTCACCCCAAGAAAGTTACGAGACTCTTCATTCTTCATGTTGTGGATTTATGATTCTGACTTTAGGAGGTCACATAGAATGACCATTCTAAGCTCCCCATGGACTACACTAATTGCCCTTGTCTGTGACCCTTTCCCGTGTCTCAATGTCCTTCAGGTTCATCCGCACTGATGCTTACGTACGGGCAATGACTGAGAAAAGGATCGTCATAACAGAATTTGGCACCTGTGCTTTCCCAGACCCCTGCAAGAATATATTTTCCAGGTTACTGAAACCCAACTGCAAGTTATTAAAGACATTTTACATTAGCCCTTTTTCTCTCATGGCTTGAAAGTTACTGGACTGAAAAATCCATTTGCTTCTGCAGGTTTTTTTCTTACTTTCGAGGAGTGGAGGTTACTGACAATGCCCTTGTTAATATCTACCCAGTGGGGGAAGATTACTATGCCTGCACAGAGACCAACTTCATTACAAAGATTAATCCCGAAACCTTGGAGACAATTAAGCAGGTAGGACACAGTGCTCAGACCATATGCTCAGGAATTTAGAATTTGCAACTTAGAATTAAATCAGCTGTGCATTTGGGTTTGAAGAATATGAGAGCCAGATAGATTAAGTTTCAAATCCCTGCTTTGTCATCAACTACTAGCAATGTGACATAGGGCAAACTTTGTTTCTCCATCTGCGAAATTTTAAACATTTATTATGTGGATTGGAGGAAAACCGTATAAAATGCCTAACATATTTATTTGTGACACAAATATTTATTGAGTCCCTTCCATGTACCAGAACTTATGCTAGATGCAAAAGATATACCAATGAGTAAGATAACATGGTCCCTGCTCTTCATGGTTTTTATAGACTAGCATGGAACTGGCACATTTAATATTGAAAACCCTACCATTCATTGTTCTAGGAAAGTGTGTTGTACCAACTTGCCCCTTCTTATAGACACTTCTTGTTAGAAATAAAGCTATATCTTAAATGAAAAAGCATAGAGAAACATGTCAGCAGTATTAAAAAGTGATAAATTTTGATGAGAACTTAGGCAATCTTGGTGCAGCATTTGATAAGATAGATCTACATTTTCAACCAATATTTATTAAGATGTAACCATTTGCGAGGCATTGTTCTTGTCTTCAGAAAGCTTAACACCTAGGTGGAGAAATCAAATAAATACATTACTTAACTATAATAGGACACAGAATGTGAGGACTCTTTTTCACAGAGGGAAAACCTTCTATGAAAGAACAAAGATTGCTTCTGGCAGTAGTTGGTGGATGTGAAGTGGGGCAGATCAAGGAAGGTTTAAAAGTCTTGCACTTGAGTTAGAAGTTAAAGGGAAGGCACAACTTCATTGATTTTGGAGAAAGAACATTTCATATACAGGGAGTACCATGATCAGCTGTATAGAGGTGGGAAACTGGAGGATAAAGAATAATTTATTTGGCTAGATTTGCAGTATTTCTCAATGGAGGTGGCAGTGGCGTTGGGCCGGTGGTACTTCATCATTGTGGGGACTGTCCCACCCACTGCAGAGGTTTGGTATCCCTGATTCCACCTACTAAACACCAGACATGTCCTCAATCATTGTACAAACTCCAAATGCTCACCAACATTTCCAACTCCCCCCCTAGGGGGCAATAGCACTCCCAGGTGAGACCTAGTGATCTAAAGCATGCCACGTCAAGGGGAATAGTGAAACACAGGGTAGGGTGAAACTAGAAGTTTGAATAATGGACAAAAATTTGGAATAAGTCATTTAGCTGATGGGAAGCTACTCAAAGTTTTTGTTCAGGGAAGTGGTATAAGCAGAGCCGTACTTTAGGTTATTTAATCTGGAAGCCACATGTAAGCTGTATGGGAGGACAAAAGAGATAAGGGATAGCTAGGAGACCAGTTAAGTGGAATAGAAGACCCGAACTAGATATTCATGTAGTAGGAATAGAAAGGAAAAGGAGTCCCAACAATGGGTGTCAATGTCACAAGCTGATTTATAATCCCCAACAGACTATTTACTAAGGCTTAACATATTCTCGATAGCTCTTTCTTAGTTTAGATGTATGTTTGAAACCACGTATGAGCGTGTGTGTAGATCATTTAGAGAAATACCGAAGCTGAGTTTCTAAACCATCCATTTGACTTTGACAGTGAATCCAATTACCATAGTAATTTAATTGGAAGTGTGAAGTTCATGGTATGGCTCCAGAATAGACTTTATTAGGAGTCAGGTTTCATTGTGAGCAGCACTATACCCTGACTTCGTATAAAAATGTAGTTTTAAAATTTTGAGTGTTTTTTTGTTGGTTTACTATTACTGAAATAGACTCCTAACAAGTTCCTTTGCCTCCAGCCCGATTCCCTTAAATTCAGCTTCCTTAATTCAGTAGAAGCAATTTTCTTTTCTAAAATGCAAGTATAAATGTGTTATTCCAATTAGTGCACCCATAGTTTCCAAGATAAAGTTAAAAGCACAGACCTTTGTGGCTGGCCCATTTTATTTCTCCTCTTCCATGTGTGAGTATCACCACAGCCATGCTGAATGACTAGTAATCCCCAAGCAGCATTCACTTTTTGCAACTCTATGCCTTTACATTAGGGTTCCTACTCCCTAGAACACACTGTCATCCTTCTCCATCTGGTAAATTTTACTCATCTTTCAAGCATGTGTTGGAGTCATTGCCCTTGGGAAGCCCTGCCTAATCCCCTAGTCTGGGTTAGATGGCCTTTCTTTACAGATATCATTTTGCACCTACTGCACTGTATACCAGCTTATTGGTCTAATACAGTGCTATTAAATGGAACTTTCTACAACGATGGAAATGTTCTATGTCTTCATTGTCCAAGTGCTATTGAGCACTTGAATGTGGCTAATGTGACTGAGGAACTGAATTTGAAGTTCTATCTAATTATGGTTAACTTACATTTAAATTGCTATATGTGGCTACCATAGTGGACAGTGCAAATCTAGACTGAAGTTCTTGAAAGCAAGGGCCATCTCTGTTTTCCTAGACCCTGACACAGCACCTGGCATATAATAGAAGCTCAAGGAATACTTGATGAATGACTGAATGACTGAATGAATGTCTTGCCTTTTATTTAAATGAGGGTGCTAAAAACTCCCTATGCTTTAAAACATACTCTCCTAACCACATAGAAAGAATTTTGGTTAGACAAATATATACTCCATCGATTATTCATTCAATAAATCTTTATTGAGCAGGTTCCAGGTAGAAAATTCTAGTGCTCTACATCCTTAGATAAGTCATTTGATCTCTCTGACACCTCAAGTTCTTCTTATGTAAACTGAGAGGTTTGTGGTAGATTAGTGGTTTTGAATTTTTTATGAGAATCCAAAACGAATTAAAGCACTGAATCGTATCTTCAAAAAGTTTCCATTAACTCCAGGAATTCATGTTTCCCCTGAAGTCTATTTAGGTTAAGACTTTCTATACTAGATGAATCCTGAAGTTCCTTTCAGTTCCAAATTCATTCTGTATGTAAGATACTGGATTTGGTATTTAGGTTGTATCATAAAAAATTGCCATTTTTATAAAATGAAAATTATTGACTATCAGCATAAAATTCAATGTAATTCAATAAGGGGAATGTAAAGAAGTTTCAGGATTCAAATTCGTCACTGTTTGAAGACAAACTGCATGTGCAAAAGGAAAGTAACCAACCAGAGTAATATATGGCCTACATCAATTGAAAAGCTCAATCAGGGAGAACTTGAAGATTTCAGAGGCATGAGGGGTCAGCATGGGGGTCAGAGGAGAGCTCAGCACTAAAGATGGGACTTCTACAGACTTAAAAGAGGGTAAGACCCAGAGAGATGGAAAGAAAGAGAAAGCACACTTAGGGTGAGGGTGCAAGTGGTAACGGTGAGGTCAGACTGAGGAACCAAAGGTGTAATACGATCTTCCTCTTAACATGGGTGACGTTTGTTCTCCTTCCATAGGTTGATCTTTGCAACTATGTCTCGGTCAATGGAGCCACTGCTCACCCCCACATTGAAAATGATGGGACTGTTTACAATATTGGTAATTGCTTTGGGAAAAATTTTTCAATTGCCTACAATATTGTAAAGATCCCTCCACTACAAGCAGGTCAGTTTACCACTTTGACTCTTTTTAAAACAAGTATCTAGGGGCTTCCCTGGTGGCACAGTGGTTGAGAGTCTGCCTGCTGATGCAGGGGACACGGGTTCGTGCCCCGGTCCGGGAAGATCCCACATGCCGCGGAGTGGCTGGGCCTGTGAGCCATGGTCGCTGAGCCTGCACGTCCGGAGCCTGTGCTCCGCAATGGGAGAGGCCACAACAGTGAGAGGCCCGTGTATCGCAAAAAAAAAAAAACAAAAAACAAGTATCTATAACATGAGAAAGTTACTGGAAATACAGGGTGTCAGATCAGAAATATCAGGATAGCACTATATGGACAGTTAAATTACTCTCAGATTTTAGGACAACTGCCCCTCACCCTTACCCTACCAGGGGACCAATGCCAAAGAGCACCATAGCAGGAAATGACATCTTCAAAAATAAGTTGCCGTGTTCTATTCTACAGTGTTTCAAAGATGTAGTGTATATGTGACTTTGATCATATAAGATTTAGATTCGAATCCAGCAAACATTTATTGAGCACTTATCCATGTGCCAGACAAAATTAAGATTTTAAACAAACATGTGTATGTATAATAGGATACACACATGTATATGAAAGTGTAGTAAGTATTTTGTGTGTATTTAATTCCCAAAACTAAAAACATAACCTTTTAACTCATGTACTATAGAGAAAGAATATTAAAACAGAAGAGAGTACGCTTTAGAATTCTCCGTTCATTGCCAGAAATTTGGTAATGATCTTGATAATAGAATTATTTGAGTATATATGGATTTTTACATACAAATCTTGAGCCCCACCTGAGGTAGACTGAATGAGTAATTCTAGGGGTGAGCCCATAGTCAGTATTTTCAGAAGCTTTTTATGTGGTTCTTAATATACACTAAGGTTTGAAGACACTGCCTTAGTAGTAAATAAACTTATATGTGCTTAAGAATTATTGTAAAGGGCTATGGACCCAAAACACATATGCCATAACTTTATAGAAAACTTAAGAGATTGTAAAAGGCACTTTGACCATACTAAAATTTTGCCTTACTCCCTTGACTTAGAACCCACCTCCAGATGTAAGATGTGACTCCACTGTACCCTGTCTGCCACACACTGTTCGAGTATACTTTCCAAATCTGCTGCTATTTGGATTTTCCTGGGTGATTGCAGCTCCGCATGAAATTTCTCTAAGAAATGCCAGTGACTGAGAAAATGGAAATAAACTCTTTAAAAAATCAAGATCTGAAAATGTATTTCTTTGCTTGCATAAGCTGTTCTAAATGCTTTGTATTTTTAAAAGAAAATAAAAGAGGCTGTTCCACAGCCTTTTGAAACCACTTTATTTCAGACAAGGAAGATCCAATAAGCAAGTCAGAGATCGTTGTACAATTCCCCTGCAGTGACCGATTCAAGCCATCTTACGTCCATAGGTAACTTGAAGGCCTGCTATGAATCTTCAGGAAAACTCAGGTTTAAAGATCTGCTTTGCCTACCTTTGATACCAATCCTGATCATGACATTTTCTTGCAGAAACCTAAATTTAAATGTAGTTAATTTCATGTAGGCACTGTTGATTCATATAACTGAGCGTACCTCATGTGTACATATTTCTCTGTGGTTTGAGAATCAACCCTTCCCACTCACAGGTTTATTTCTGTTTCTGAACAGTTTTGGTTTGACTCCCAACTATATTGTTTTTGTGGAGACACCAGTCAAAATTAACCTGTTCAAGTTCCTTTCTTCATGGAGTCTTTGGGGAGCCAACTACCTGGATTGTTTTGAGTCCAATGAAACCATGGGGGTAAGTCTTACATTTATTTGTCAGCTTTATGGTTCTGAAGAATATGTCTTTCATAATGCACACTTTTTTTTCTTTTTAAATGCATCAAAATATTCTCTTTACTTTTCAAGGTTTGGCTTCATATTGCTGACAAAAAAAGAAAAAAGCATATCAATAATAAATACAGGACATCTCCTTTTAACCTCTTCCATCACATCAATACCTATGAAGACAGTGAGTTTCTGGTTGTGGATCTCTGTTGCTGGAAAGGGTAAGAAAGGACATTGGATAAATGTTACATCTCCAGTTGTTCCTGGAAATTAGGGTTTTTTTTGGAGATGCCGCTCTCAGTATTTAATCTGAATTACATCTAAAAAAGCAAGAAGAATGCTTAAGTCACAAAATATGATTAAAAAGGCTGTAGGGAGTTTAGATAATCAGAAACACTAACTGAACCTCAAAACTATGGTTAATGATTGAAAACTGATCAGGTCCATGAACCAGACCTGAAAATAAAAGATTCTGTGACTTGATGAGTAAACTTAAGCTTAATTTCACTCAAACTTAACAAGATCCTTTGGGGAGCCTAGAACTCCTAGTTCTAGTCTGGGTTTGGGAAAAAGAGATAATGCTTTCTTCAAAACAGCAGGTCACTAAAAAAGACAGTAGCCCCTGAAGACACAGACAGAATGGTGATAGAGAAACAGAGCAGAACGTTTTAAAGGCTGTTGTTATTTAAACATATCCATGAGCAGGATTCTTTTCTCCACCCAGAGTGGGCAGGAGAAATGGCTCCAGGATTCCTGAGTCTTTAGCAGGTTCTGGGTTGGGGTCTGAAGAATAGGGAGGCACTTGTGCTTTTAAAAGGCATGAAGCATGTCTCTAAATTATTTGTAATTGGCTGTCCTCATGTTTGACTTCTTATTTTTGCAGATTTGAATTTGTTTATAATTACTTATATTTAGCCAATTTACGTGAGAACTGGGAAGAGGTGAAAAGAAATGCCAGAAAGGCTCCCCAGCCTGAAGTCAGGAGATATGTACTTCCTTTGAATACTGACAAGGTAACCACCCTCTACATAGATTTCAGATATAACCAGAATGTTTCATCTCACTCAGGATTTTTTCTCCTGCTGTGTGTTTATACATAAAGTCTTGAAATTTCAGAGCTGGAAGGAACTTTAAAAATTAATTCCACTTGCCTCATTTTATAAGCGAGGAAACTGAAGCTCAGAAGAGTCACATGACTCAGCAAAATCCAACTGTGGTGGAGTCAAAACGAAAACTAGGTTTTGACTCTAAACCTGTTGTTCTTCTATTTACAAAATCCTTTCAAAGTGATTGCAATCCAACTGGTTAGAACATAAGCAAAAACAGTGGAATAAGTGGGCAAAAAAGCTTAAAAAAAAGTAGGTTGGCAGTCTTTGAAGGCTTTCAGGCCAAAAGGTTTGTGCTTTATTTGACAGGTGATGGGGAGATAGTCAAGGTTTTGAACAGAAGAAAGCCATATTCAGAGCTGGTGGACTGGGTATCAAGCGTACTGACTACTCTAGTTGTCCCTGCTACTAAATGTCCGGCTTTCCTGAGCAAGTCACTCAGTGAGCAAGTTCCCCTACAGTTCGGTTGCCTGCTCAGAAACCTAAGTAAATTGGACTAAATAATAACTAAGGTTATTTGCAGCTTTGATTTTCTAAAATAAGGCTGTGTTGTGTGTAAGTAGTATTGGAAGTAAAGAAAGGATGATGATAAGGGACCTGGGATTGGAGACAATGAAAATCACTCAGGTGATAGAAAAATGTAGTGGTAGAAGGAACAGACAAACCGACAAAAGTGAGAGTTCCTACAGGTAGAATTAAAAGGATCTTACATTTGATTGGATGGTAGAATGAATTAAGTCTTAGACATGCAAAAGACCATAGAGATCCTTTAAGCCTATGTGTCTAGAGTGTTGATACCTTTGGAAATAGGAAATGTAATAGGCAGAGCAGGTTTGGAGATAAACCTGAATTGTAGAACTATGAGGAAGTGGGGAGAATGAGTAAAAGGGCTGACTTCAAGACAGACCCAGGTTGACCAGGGCTTCCAGCATTCTAGCTGTTTGATTCGCGGCAAGACATTTAATCTTTTTAAATCCCCTTTTCTTTATCTATATCCACCATACAGGATTTTTGTGATCAATAAACGAGGTGACATATGTCAATCACTGAATATAGTCCCTCACACAAAGTAAGTGTTAAATAATATTGATTATAATCATCATCAACAGCAAAATCAGCATCAACAACATTTTCGTGAAGACGTCTTGTAGGCTTTCATATGGAAGTGCGGGTCCTTGCGACACGAAGTAGGGTCAGAAGAAAAGAGCTGACAGTTATTGGAATTGAAATGACGATCAAATATATGAAGATAGATAAGATCGCTAGCAGGAAAAATTCATACTTTAGAGTGTTTTAAAAGAAACATACAAATTTGTTTATTTTAAAAATGATGAACTTGATAGCCATAACATGCTGAAAGAAAAGAAAAGATGGCCAAGCACAAAAGTTGGGGAAACACCCATGTGCAGAAAGTGGTAAGAAAAGAGGAGTCAGAAAAAGAAAGAGAAAAAAGTCACCAAAGGGCCCTAGTTACAGCTAAGAGAGGATAATGCCACATGATAAGGCAAGAGAAGGGTTTCACTGGTGCCCACTGCTATATATAGACAAGTTGAAAAGAATGAAGATGAAGAGCCAAAAACCAGATTTAGTGATCTCCAGGGGAGTAGGGAGAGAGGCAGAAATCAGGTTTCAAGGCAATAAAGGTGAGCAATTGATGAGAATGTGGGAGCAATTACTATAGCCTGCACTTTTAAAAGTTTGGCAATGAAGAGAAAAATAAGTCATAAATTAGGGAAATAAGAGATAAACAGATTGAAGGAAGGAGAGGAAAGAGTATGAGTGAAGTTTCCAGTTTAGTGATTAACATAACAGTGATATCTTTAAAATATACCTTTATTATTTTTGAATAGGCAGTGAATTTAAATGGTCAAAAACTCAAAATGATCTGAAAAGGTACACACTGGAAGTGTCGCTCCAACCTCTCTCTGCCTCCATTCCATACCATTCCCCTTCACTTCTGTGTGTAACTTTTAATGTCTTTCCTTTTCCTTTGTTTAGGCAAATATAAGAAAATATAAATATATATAATTATTATTTCCCATTTTTACACAAAAAGTAACTTTCTATATCCACATTTTTGTTCCTTGCTTCTTTTCATTTTAAAATATATATTGAAGATTTTGCTTTCTTCAACTGCACGGTATTCTTTTTTGTGAACATACCCAAGTCCCTCACTGCTGAGCAACAGAGTTGTTTCCATTCTTTGGCTGTTACAGATAATGTCACAAGGAATAACTTTGTATGCATGTTATTTTATATATGTGCAGATATAGCAATAGGATAGACTCTCAGAAGTGAAATTGCTGGGTCAGGGGATAAATGCATGTGTTAAAAAAAATAGTGAGGGGGAAGAGTGAAAATAAGGAGCTAGCTTGGAAAGCAAAGATAATGTTACACATCTCTTACGTTAAAAACCCTAACTTAATGGTGGAAAAAATAAGATACGACAGAGTAAAATCATTAAAGTCACAGTTGCATAAGTAATGTGTTCGACATCAACATTTGAACTTACTGAATACATGTATAAATATGTATGTATGCACACATGCCGCTCTCTCCTTGCCAAAATCACCATGAAGTGCCTCGAGGCCCCACTTCACAGAATCTCACAAGACCCATCCTCACCTCCCATCTCTTCCCAATCCTGAAAATCTTTCACTATTTCCTTTTAATTCATTGTACGTACCAGAAAAATTCCATCTATCCTCTGCTCAGAAGGTTCCTTCCACCTTCTTTCTTTTACCAAAAAATCTGACACTCCCTCTAGGACACTGGTCTCTTCAGCAGCAGTTTCCAGGGGTGCAGTTTCTCCTCCTGCAGCGCTTGTACCACTGGGCCTGGGGCTGTGCTACACTTGTTCCACTTTGCTGCTTCCAGACCATTGCTCCTTCCACCCACCCTTAAAATCTTCCAATTTCAAATCTCACTTCAGCTAAGTATATAGCCAAGTGGTATGTCTACATTTACATATATACACCCCTCATTATTATTCTCACCAGTTAACCACCACTCCTTCTCCCTTCTGGCTCAGTGTCACACTCCCCTGATCTACTCCTGACTCTGTTATTTCAATATACACATCATAGGTGACTCTTCCAACAACTGGCCTCTCAGTTCCATGACGTCTTCCACTGATTTTGTCTTCCATTCTATCTCAGCCACTCACTCCCCACAGTCATGCAATTGACCTTGCCATTACCTTTGACTGTGCTTCTACCATAACCTTGGTTTCATGCATGACACATTCTGACTACCACCTCTTATCTTTCAAGATTACTTGCCCTACTGCAGTTCCCACCAGGAACCTCCAATCTATTGAACCTATTACCTTCTCATCATTTCTCACTCCCTTGAGGACTTACCTTCCCTCCTTATTCAATAACAATTTCATGGTTAATCATTGTAATCACCCCCTTGAGTAGATCTTCATTTCTCTTCCCTCTTTCTTACTTTATAGAACTTATTTGTCAAAATCATAATCCTAGTTAAATTCAACCCTCCACCCACTCCATGCTTGTACCTCTAAGGCTGAAATTAAGTGCTAAAAACACACAATTGTGTTAATTGGCCCATTTTTAAGTACATGACCACAAACCTTACTGCTACATTTCCCAACTTCACTTTCCTAGTTAAATATTTCACACCCTCCTCTCTTCAACCTTCTAACACCTCCCACCTCCACACTCATACTCAACTGATGGCTCTGCTTCCTATTTTACTGAAACAAATGAAAGAAATCAGAAAAGAACGTAGACTCCTGCCACCACATCTACCCACCCACCAGCATCTGTACTCATACCGAATTATCCATCATCCTATTCAGAACTAGTCTTTCCCATCCTTCCTCACCCTCTCCAGGACAACACTCTACAATTCTCCCCCTCTCTCATATGTCTCACTCTCCTCCTGTTTTCATTAAATCATGCATATCATGCTATTATTTTGCCCTCTTACAAAATCCTTCTTTTAACTCTTCTTGCCCCCACCACCTATCCCCTCATTCCTCTCTTGAAGACCCCTTAATCTTGGAGGGCACCAGAACTCAGCCCTTTGTTCTATCTTCTATCTGTGCGTTTACTCCCTTTGTAAAGACTCATGCTTTAAAGCAGCCTAGAATTTCACTTCCAACTTTCCTTTTAACTCAAGGTTCTTATATGCTACTGCCAATGCCATGTCTTTATTTTGATGTCCAATAAACACTTCAAGTTTAATAAGACAAAACCTAAACTTCTCCTCTTCCCCTACCAAAAATTACCTTCAGTAATCCCCATCTTTGCTGTGACAACTCCAACTTTTAATTATTCGGGCCAAAAACCTTGAAGCCCTTCTTGACTCCTTTCTCAGTTTCATGCCTCTTCCCCACCGCATATCTTAACTATCAGGAAATCCTCTTGGCTCTACCTTGCACTCCTCACTGACTTCAATGCTACTAGCCTAGTCTGAACCATTGTTTTCTTTTGACTGGACTACTACAAGACAAACTGGTTTCCCTGATTTCACTCTTTCATCTCCCCTTTTTTTTTTTTTTAATTTACATGTATTTTATTTATTTATTTATTTTTGTATCTCTCACATATATATATATATTTTTTTATATAGCAGGTTCTTATTAGTCATCCATTTTATACACATCAGTGTATACATGTCAATCTCAATCTCCCAGTTCATCACACCACCACCCCCACCTGTCGCTGCTTTGGTGGTTTGGTGGCTTGCTGCTTGGTGTCCATACATTTGTTCTCTACTTCTGTGTCTCAATTTCTTCCCTGCAAACCGGTTCATCTGTACCATTTTCTAGGTTCCACATATATGCGTTAATATACGATATTTGTTTTTCTCTTTCTGACTTAACTTCACTCTGTATGACAGTCTCTAGATCCATCCACGTCTCTACAAATGACCCAATTTCGTTCCTTTTTATGGCTGAGTAATATTCCATTGTATATATGTACCACATCTTCTTTATCCATTCGTCTGTTGATGGGCATTTAGGTTGCTTCCACGTCCTGGCTATTGTAAATAGTGCTGCAATGAACATTGGGGTGTATGTGTCTTTTTGAATTATGGTTTTCTCTGGGTATATGGCCAGTAGTGGGATTGCTGGGTCATATGGTAATTATATTTTTAGCTTTTTAAGGAACCTCCATACTGTTCTCCAAAGTGGCTGTATCAATTTACATTCCCACCAACAGTGCAAGAGGGCTCCCTTTTCTCCACACCCTCTCCAGCATCTGTTGTTTGTAGATTTTCTGATGATGCCCATTCTAACTGGTGTGAGGTGACACCTCATTGTAGTTTTGATTTGCATTTCTCTAATAATTAGGGATGTTGAGCAGCTTTTCTTGTGCTTCTTGGCCATCTGTATGTCTTCTGTGGAGAAATGTCTATTCAGATCTTCTGCCCGTTTTTGGATTGGGTTGTTTGTTTTTTTAATATTGAGCTGCAAAAGTGATCTCGACAGAGCAGTCAGGGTGATTCTTTTAAAAATAAATCAGAGCCTGCCACTGCTCTGCTCAGAACCCTCCAATGACTTCCCATCTCTCACTCACAGAAAAAGACCAAGACCTCACAATGACCTATCAGTCTTTACCCCTCCACTCTCCTCTCCTGCTCTTCTCCCCCGAGCTCAGTCAGTGCAGCCACACTGGTCTCTTTAATGTTCTTCAAGGACCTTTGGCGTACTCCTACCTCAGGCCTTTGTAGTTTGTTCTCTCTGCTCAAATGCTCTTCCCTAGATACCTGCATTGCTAGCTTCCTTCATCTCCTACAAGTTTTATCCCAGATTTCACCTTTTCAATGAGGCTCACCCTGACCACCTACTAAAATTACAACTCACCTACTCTTCACATTTCTGATTCTCCTTACTCTGCTCTATTCTTTTTCCTCACATTCATGATGTACTAAACACTTTGTCTATTAATTATATTTATATTGTTTATGTTCCCAAATTAGAATGAAAACTTCATGATGACAGGGACTCTGTTCTCTGAAATATCCCAAATGCCTAGAATAGAGTCCATCACAAAACATGTATTTAAGTATTTGATGCAGGTATTACTAAATGAATATGTTCTTTGAAAGAGCTCATGATATTCATTCCTTTCATAAAATAATCTGAAAAATCACGTGGGAGCAATGTGGGTGACAAGAGATCTTAGAAAACATCTGGTCAGTAGTTTTTTAATTTGTTTTCTTTTTTGACAACTTACGGGCATGATTTTGTTTTCAAATAAAATAAAAATATAGCCTAACTATAAAGGAGACAAACACTGTATGGATACCTAGAGGTTGAAGTCTTTGTTGTTCTGCAGAAAAATACTTCTTTTTCCAGAGCCCATCCTCAGAGCTGTAAATTTTCTTCGAGGTCAGCCTCATTTCACTGATGAGAAGACTGAGGGCCTATGAAGTTGTATGACTTTCCCAGTGACACACAGCCAGTGACTGATGTGGACACAGACAGCTTTCCCAGTCATGTTCCTGGGCTCCCCTTTCTAGAGTTTTCTGCACTGCCTCTCCCTACATGTTGACTTAAGAAATGAAGAACGCAGGAGACAAAACTTGGGAAGACTATATTTATGGCTGCTTGATCTTTCTTTCCTGATCACTGAGGTTTCTGTTCTCCTCTTTCTTAGGCTGACACAGGCAAGAATTTAGTCACACTCCCCAACACAACTGCCACTGCAATTCTGTGCAGTGATGAGACCGTCTGGCTGGAACCTGAAGTTCTCTTTTCAGGGCCTCGCCAAGGTGAGATGATTTAGGAAAAAACCTCACATGAGAGAGAACAAAATGTTCCATTCAAAGAGATTAACGAGTTTTCCTAAGCACGTGCTCTACTTTGCAGCATTTGAATTTCCTCAGATCAACTACCAGAAGTATGGTGGGAAACCTTACACATACGCATATGGACTTGGCTTGAATCACTTTGTTCCAGACAGGGTAATTAATCCATCTTCCTAATATTCAAACAGTACTTTGAGTCACATGCTAGTCAAGTAGAGCATATTGACTGATTGACTGACTGATTGATTGACTTTTCTTTCTTACAAGCAGCTCTGTAAGCTGAACGTCAAAACTAAAGAAACTTGGGTATGGCAAGAGCCTGATTCCTACCCCTCAGAACCCATCTTTGTTTCTCACCCAGATGCCTTGGAGGAAGATGACGGTAATGAAAGTAATAGATGTGTCTGAACACTCTCTTTTCATTGCAGTTCATATAGTTAGTTAATTAGGAGAGGAGTTATGTTGATTATTCCCTAATGTTCAAAAGTAATCCTTTATACTATTGAATGGGACAGCACTAAAGAATTTAAACTTATTTGAAAATAAGTTTTATCTTATGGTCAGGTTTCATTTGGTACTGTTGGAAAAATGCTAAAGCACCATCTGGTGTCACGATGGAACATCAATGTCTGCTCTAGATGAAGGAGAGGAGGAAGAAGGAACAGCATGCGGTCTAGGTTTTTGCCTTTCCTGACCTAGATACATTTCTGAAAAGGGATAGAGTTCTAAGGAGGGAAACTGAGTATTCTAACAGATCCAAGAGAATGAGGATGAGGCTTTGTGTTTCTAGTTTTGGTTTTTCCTTTCAGTAAGCTGGGGCTAGAAAGGGATCCAGAGCAACAGCCTATAAAACAGCAACTCAGTTACAAAGAGTCATCTTAGTTAACTATTGATTATCCGGGACAAGGAGGTAGGTTATCCTCTCTGGGATTAAAATATGGAAAACCACAGAGAAATGAATAAAATAAAGAATTGTAGAGCCGTTTTACACTAAGTGATTTCACATATACAGCCTTTCCAGTCAAAACCGCAAAAAGTTTGTTCTTATTTTGTTTGAAGGAAGTAAGCTTCCAGCTAGGTCTTGGAAATTATAGAAATAATATACCTTACCATTTTCAAAGTCTTTTTTTTTTTGGCCACACCGCTCAGCTTGCGGGATCCTAGTTACCCGACCAGGGATCGAATCCGCTCCCTCAGCAGTGAAAGCGCGGAGTCCTAACAACTGAACCACCAGGGAATTCCCAGAGTCTTTTAATATACATTTTTCACTTGATTGTCACAACATTTTTTTTTTTTGCAGTAGGTAGAACAGGTGTTAAATCGTATGATACAGATAAAAACACAGAAACATTCATTAAATAAGAATTTAATGGATACTTACTATGTTCTAATCATTGCAGTAGGCTATTGGGATACAACAGTGGGCAAGACAGATAGGGTCACTCCCTTCTTAGAGCTTATAGTCCAGGGGACATGAAAAATTTTAAATCCCTTTCAGGGTTACCACACAGCCAGGTGGTAGAAGAGTCAGAGCAAGATATCAAGGCATCTAGTTTTCTTTATTTGTCAATGTAATGCTTCCTTGCTTCCTGTATTATTTCAGTGACACTATCTATTGCTATGGGCTTTTTTTTTAAATTCAACATTGCCTTATTAACTTCTGATTAACAGGTGTAGTTCTGAGTGTGGTGGTGAGCCCTGGGGCAGGTCAAAAGCCCGCTTATCTCCTAATTCTGAATGCCAAGGACCTGAGTGAAGTTGCCAGGGCTGAAGTGGAGATTAACATCCCTGTCACATTTCATGGACTGTTCAAAAAATCCTGAGCACATTCTAGCCTAATATGTTTCTGGTGACAAAACCCAGAACGACATAGTCAGGTCTGCAGTGAAATTCTGTTCAGTTTTAGCCTGCTGTATATGAGTTTTAACTTGCAGATGCACACAATTTTGCAGTGTTTTACAGAACGCACAGAGTTGAGTAAGCAATTCCTTTTAAAAAAAGTGCATATTTAGGTAATCATACTTTCTCTGTGAGACAGACACATCATAACTAAAAACTCTTTATATATTTACAATCAAAGAGCAAATGAATGTGGATTTATTAAACTGTTTTTTATTCCTATTATAAAAGTGTATTTTAGGTACCTATCTGCTCCAGTTATTTTTTAACACTTAAAAGCCAGTCCTCTACACCTGATTTGTATGTGGCTTTGCCAAGTCAAAGCAGTATCTTGCAAAAAGGCTTAATTATTAAATGTCAAACCAAACTTTTTCTCAAACCAGGGACTATCATCTAAGACAATCATTGTAATTGTATGCATATATATATTATTGTTCAAAGATTCTCAAGTTTTATAAACTTTAACATTTCCATTTAATATAAGCAATTACTACTATTTCTGATTTTACAATGAGGAAACCTATCTCTAATCCACTGAGGGCTCTCAACCAAATAATTTCTCAGAGATTAAGTTATCTATTAAAAGCTTACATAACATCCAAGCAATTACACATAGTAGTGACTGTAATTTTTTTGAAAAACAGAGCATAAAATACTGACAAATATAATTTCTGTTTAAAATCAGAGTATGGGGTAATAATATGTGTGGGGGGGGTTATACTTTGTTGCCTCATCTGCTTAATTATATTTAAGCACCGTGCAATCACCTGAAAGTGAAAAAAGAGAAATATTGTCATTAACTTTCCAATATTAATATATTTTAAGTATTTATGTTTTTAAAATTATTCTCTTCTGAGCTAGATATTGCAAAAAAATGAAGATTGTCAAAAATGTTTATTCTATATCTTAATCCTGGCATCTATTTTATGCTCAAAAGTATTACATATCATTGTATTTAAGATGATCAGTATTGTGTTTGACTAAGTAAAAACAGCTTGAAGGAACAGACTGACTAGTGTACTTGATGCATCCATTTGATTTCTTTATTTAGATAAAATGCAAACTCGTTTTTTAAAATTATAAATACTCATTAAAACATACTTTTCAAAGAAAATCTAAAATTACAAGAAAGTGGAAATTATAAAGTAAAATCATACATAGCTGATCTAAGCTCAACTACTGGTCTTTTCCATCATTTTTCCCCCTGTGGATTTTTAATGTAATCATTATTTCTTTGTGGGTAATTCCTAGGTAGAGCTAGATATCTCAAAAAATAAAAAGAAAAATGCCAGAAAATAACATGGAATATGTGACTATAGATAAACATCAGTCTGTTGTTTTTGTCTCTAGACATGGCACATGAACATAGTTCCACATAGAAGGCTATTTATCCATTTCTTTTAAAAATGAAGAAAATAAATTACTGAATAATTACTAAGTTTTATACTTATTTAAGTCTTTAAATTTTAGAGAATTCCCCAAACTGTCACTTCCTACACTTGCCGATCAGTCCCTGCCTTCTTCCCATTCCTTTTCCATAAGCAAGTCTGGCAATTTGGTGTGCCCACTTCTCCTGTTGCAGGATCCCATTTTGAGCCCTGTGCTCTGTGGAGATCACCACAGTGTTAAGAAGGGAGAGAGGCACATCTGACTAAAACATTCTGACAATACCATTTCACCAAAATTGGAATTGTCTATATAATCATTGCTAATATTATACCAAGAAGGCTTAGGAGCTGTTTTCAATTGCAAAGATGGAATTTGAGCTTTAAAAACTTACATTAGACTAAGAGAGATTTAAGTCAGGCAAGAAGGATTAACTTGGAAAGTCAGATTGAAAAAATTAAGTAACCTGGTTTCTAAGAATCAGAGGTATTCATCTAGGGGAATCTAGAGAATCATGTCCCATCCATAAACAAATAAATCTGTTTTAAGGGGAAAATTCAATTGAATTAAGATAAATAAACCTGCTAATAAGTAGTTATTTTTAAAATAAGTTGTTTGAAGTCAACCTTTTTCTATTTGGGACACCTTACATTTGTCATAGCCAAGGAGAAAGGATAATAACATCTTTGACAATATCAAAAAGTAATTAGTAACTGATAACTGCCTCATGGCAGATAATCTAGATAGAGTTCCTATACTACATGCTAAACCAGAAAAGATCAACAGACAGCAAAGCCAGCCTACCTTCCGACTAGGATTAAGAGAAAATATCCCCTAAAGGACCCCCTAGGGAATGCCAAATCTGGTACAATTCAGTCTCAGTGGAAAAACAATCTCTGAAAGACAGGAGAAAAGGAAACTTTACTCATTGAGTGCCTTTTACTTTTACAGAAAAGTGGAAATTACTCCTAATACTATACCCACCATGATACTATAGTCACCATTTTAAAGATGAGGAAAGGGAGGACCAGTTACTTTTCTAATAATAGCAAAACTTAAACTGAAATCTAAACCTATCATTTCTTCCACTAAAAATTTGGTTTCTGATACTTTCTAAAATATTTCTACTAATGTAAAATTTATTTCACCACTATCACACTACTTAGTCATCAAGTCTGGATGCAAATAAAATCTTTGACTGTTCAGTAATTCTCACTATTGATTAGTGGGCCAAATGCCTCTTGAATAATAGTAACCAAGTAACAAGTATATATTATGCCAGGGATTCCACTAATTTGTCTTTATGTACAGATCTGATGATTCTATTTTGCAGATGAGGAAAGTGAAGCTCAATAAAATTAAATAACTTGGCCAACCTTCCACACAGGATGAAAATCTGATTCCAAACATCATTGGGCACTGTGAACTACTACCTTGAGGTAGTTCACAATTTCAACATTAGATCACTACATTCCTTTTAATGACATTTTAAAAAACTAGTTTTCCATTGGTTACTGTGAAAATATAAGTACCATGCAAAAATTAATGTGGAACACAAAATAATAATGACTGTGTCCAATCTGATTCCAAACTTTGAGAAGTTCTGCCATGTCCAAAAGGTACTAGGCTATTAGAACAAATGTATATATTATGTCACTTGGACTTAACTATGTAATAAGCAGAGGTGTTACATATTTCTTTTAGAGTGCCATAAAAAAGTTACTCAGACATTAAAGTCTTTGTGAAGCTAGAATGTTAGAGAATCTCTGTTCAAGACTCTGGTTTTTAACTTAGTAGGTAAATCTCTTAACCTCATAGGACCTAGTCTACAGAGTTGTGACTTAAATAACTTCATAAATTCATCCTCAAAACAAGTCATTTTGTATCAGTTCCAACATTAAATTTATATCAAAGAGCTTTACTTATTTAAGAAAAAGAAGAAAGATGAAACAATCATATCCAATATTTCTATGATTAGTCTGTTTGTGGACATTTCTTGTTCTAATACGTTCATAATATTATACTAGGTGGATGATAAAATAAGTTTAAGAAGCTACCAACAAAAATCTCAAAACTTGCTGTTTCTCAAGTTTCTTTAACTTGGATTCATCCATATACATATCTTCATCTCCTTCCAGAAGGTGAGCAAAGGGGTATCTCCCATTTACAAGAGCAACCCTTGCAATGGGACATAGGACTAAGAATTCAGGCTCAAATGATCTACCACACTAAAAGAAGAAACATTGCCAAGTGTTAGGGAATTATGTGAATAGTGCATTTGTATTAATGATCAACTAATCCAAGAAGCAATACATTATTGCTGAAGCTATTATAAAGAGAGTTGAATAAGTACTTAAAAACCTAGATGTGAAGGCTAAGCTGATGTGAAATGTACAAGAGACTTAAATATTCTTCATAACCATGACTGGTTATGAGTTATTATTTCAGTGGCATAATAGGAAATAGTACTAGACCTGACTTTGATTTGGGGGAGATATTAAGTACCTAACATAGTGCCTAAGACATAGTAGCTACTCAACAAATGGTAGTTAATATTTTTAATCTGGGGTTTCAAGAAACTTAACAGCTTTCTTTGCTACATGATTTTTCATTAATATTTAAAGTATTTTATGGGAATTCCCTGGTGGTGCAGTGGTTAAGTCCGCCTGCCAATGCAGGGGACACAGGTTCGAGCCCTGGTCCTGGAAGATCCCACATGCCACAGAGCAACTAAGCCCATGCACCACAACTACTGAGCCTGCACTCAGAGCCCGCGAGCCACAACTACTGAGCCCGTGTGCCACAACTGCTGAAGCCTGCGAGCCTAGAGCCCATGCTCCACAACAGAAGAAGCCACTGCAATGAGAAGCCCACGCACCACAACGAAGGGTAGCCCCTGCTTGCCACAACTAGAGAAAGCCCGCATGCAAAAATGAAGACCCAACACAAACAAAAATTAATTAATTAAGCAGTTTTTTAAAAAAATAAAATAAAGTATTTTATGATATCCTACATGGGAGAGAATATAAAACAATTCTCAATCTTATACAAGGATAGAGCCATTTTTATTGACACATATCATGAGACGTATGTTCCAAAAATAAGCTAGAATGCTGATAAACATCCAGTGCTTTCAAATTAAGATGTTAAGTGTAATCACCAGGGCAACCACTAATAAGGTAACTAAAAAAATGTACTAAATATTAAAATATACACTAGAAATAGTTAACAAAAAAGAACACAAGTGGAGGAAGAAGGAACAAAAAAGACAAAAGATACAGAAAGCAAATGGCAAAATGTCAGACAAAAATCATGTCAGCAATTACATTAAATATAAATGGATTAAGCATGCCAATCATAAGGCAGGGATTGGCAGTATGTATTTTTTTTAATGAGCTAATTATATGTTATCTACAAGCAACACATTTTAGATTAAAAGGCACAAATAGGTTAAAAAAGGGGATGGAAAAAGATATACTATGCAAAAAGTAAGCAAAAGAGAACTGAAATGGCTATACTAATATCAGAAGAAATAGACTTTAAGACAAAAATTGTTACTAGAGATAAAGACATTTTATAATGATAAAAGGGTAAATTTATAATGCATAAGGGAATTCTATGAACAACTCTATGCCAATAAATTAGGCAACCTAAATGGAATAGACAAATTTCTAGAAAGAAAATAGCAACAAAAATTGACTCAAAAACAAATAGAGGGGCTTCCCTGGTGGCACAGTGGTTGAGAGTCTGCCTGCCAGTGCAGGGGACACGGGTTCGAGCCCTGGTCTCGGGGGATCCCACGTGCAGTGGAGCGACTGGGCCCATGAGCCACAACTACTGAGCCTGCGCGTCTGGAGCGTGTGCTCTGCAACAATAGAGGCCGCGATAGTGAGAGGCCCGCGCACCGCGATGAAGAGTGGCCCCCGCTCGCCCCAGCTAGAGAAAGCCCTCGCACAGAGACGAGGACCCAACACAGCCAAAAATAAATTAATTTTTAAAAAAATAGAAAATCTGAATATACCAATAAGAAGTAAAGAGATTGAATTAGTAATTTTAAAACTTCCCCAAAGAAATATCCAGGCCCACACTGCTTCACTCATGAATTGTACCAAACATTTAAAGAAGAATTAATACCAATTATTTGCAGACTTTTTCCAAAAGTGTACATAGAGGAAATACTTCCCAACTCATTCTATGAGGCCAAATTTACCCTGATAACAATATCAGACAAAAAAATCACAAGAAAAGAAAACCACAGACCAATATCACTTATGAATTTACATGAAAAATCCTCAATAAAATACTAACAAACAAAATTCAACAATACATAAACAGGACTCTACACCATGACCGAGTGGGATTTCTCCTAGGAATTTAAGAATTAGCTTAATACCCAAAAATTAATATAATGTACCATATTAATGGAACAGCAGACAAAGCCACATGATCATCTCAATAGATGCAGACAAAGCGTTTTGAAAACATTCAACAATCATTC